GTAGTATGACTCATTTCCTGGCGCGTACAATTTATATTAGGTCAGCGTTCATGGTTCTACTTCTGATATTCAGATCGAGTTCTAGGTCAAACTGGTTTGTTCGACTTTCAAGAAATTCGACTTCCAGTGAGTTCGAGAACCGAGGTACCACTGTATATACCAAGGCAAACAGGTCAACGTGCTTGTTTTTCTCTTTACAGTAAGAATTTGCTCTAGTTTCACATTATTTTTGAGTTTTTTCTAAGCTAGTTAACAGGAGAATCTGTTTGGTTTTTTTTACTTAATGCTGAGGATGCTGTACTAAGAGCTATTAGGTCTGATTGAAGGTCTGGTTTCTCTGGTGTGATGTACGATCTACCCACATGGGGAGAACCATGCTGGTCCCAGCACCAGTCCCTGTGGGACCCCGTATGTGATCAAAGACCATGGCTGTGGAGTACAGCTGTCAGATATAATGATGAGGAAAGACATTGGAAAACCAAAGACAAGTCTGCATAGATACATTATCTTAGTATGTTGCAGTTGGAATGCAGCTAAATTTTCAGGAATTGTTTGAAAGTAATTGGAGATTTGAGTCAGGTTTGTGGTTATAGTGGATCTGACAGCTCATTCCGAGTCAGGACCAAGGACTAATAGGAAGCACATGTTAATCATAAACTCGATTCCCAGGGAATATTTAAGGAGTGGAGCCTAATGGACACGCATTACAATTTAAAAGGAATGTTTTTGGTCCATGTTCATCAGCGAAGCGCTGTTGCTATGATTGTTAGTGATCATATTTTAGAGTTAGCAACCATCTGCTAAATGTCAGGTGTAATCTTATCCATTTTTCTATTAAAGACTTCCATAAATTTGTTAGTGCTAATAGGGGACACTGTAGCCAACAAGCCTGCAGCCTGGGAAGTTGGTTAGGTTGGTTCGGGCTTGAAAAAGTCAGTGCAGGGTAGATTTTCTACACGTGACTTTTGGTTCCAGCTCCTATTTGGCTAGTTCATCTCAAGTGATTTGGTCCGCTGCTTTTTTCTTAAAGAAATAACAAGAGAACTAGTAATAGTACAGAGTGACTGCTCAAAGGGGTTAATAGTGTAATAGTA